AGATGGTCTCTAAATTCAGGTGGGCTATAATCAAGGTCATATTTTGGCTTTCATGGACATATTTTAATTGTCTTCAACTTCATCTTGAACTTGCATATAAGCAATCGATGATTTGTTCCAAAGTCAGCTCCTAGCCTTGTTTTGACTGATGATATTGAGCTTCTCCATTGCCTCTTTCCACAGATGTTGTCGATCTGATTTCTGTGTATTCCATCTGGCAAGGTCCATGTGTATAGCCACCATTTGTGTTGTTGAAAAAAAGGTACTTGCAATGAGTAAGTCATTGTTCTTGCAAAATTCTATCATGTGATCTCTGGCGTCATTTCTATCACCAAGGTCAAATTTCCAACTACTGATGATTCCTCTTTGTTTCCAACTTTTGAATTCCAATCACCAATAATTATCAGTATGTCTTTTTTTTTTAAATTTCATTTTTGCAGCATTGCCTCCCCTCCCCTTCCACCTCTAATAACCAATAAAGAACATTTTCTTCCATATATAAACCTTTCCTTGACATTCTACAATAATGAACAAATACAATATTTGTCCTTCTGTGATTATCAATGCATCTTGATTGCATGTTTGGTCAATTTCAGACTGCACAAGTTGGTAAAAATCTTCTATTTCTTCATCTTTGGCTTTAGTACTTGGTGTGTAAATTTGAATAACAGTAGTATTAACTGGTCTTCCTTGTAGGCCTACGGATGTTATCCTATCACTGACAGCGCTGTTCTTCAGGACAGATCTTGAGATGTTCTTTCTGATGATGAACGCAATGCCATTCCTCTTCAGTTTTTCATTCCTTGCATAGTAAGTCATATGACTGTCTGATTCAGTCAGTCCGTTTCAGCTCACAAATGCCTAGGGTATTGATCTTTACCCATTCCATTTCATTTTTGACAACTTTCAATTTTCCTAGATTTATATGGGATTTGGGAGCTTTGGTAGAATAGTGCCTAAGGCACTTGACTGCTAACCAGAAGGCCAGAGGTTCAAACTCACCAGCCACTCCTTGGAAGAAAGGTTGGGCAATCTACTTCCGTAATGATACTGCCTCGGAAACTCCAGGAGGGGTCATTATGAGTTGGATCCTACTCGACTGCACATAACAACAACACACATGGAATTTATCAATATGCCTGAATTGCCACAATCAGAAAGTTGAGAAATAGAATTTTAATCTTGGTCTGACTGGTTGAAAGCCCAGTTTTTTCCAGGAAGACACAGACTACAAAATAAACTAATCTTAAGGCCCAGAATACAATAGAAGCCCTTGGAAAACTCTTCAGTAAACCAACTAAAAAACAAGGATGCCAGAATACTCACTTTCAATATCCTTGATCTTCATCTCCCATGGAATGCACTGAGTCTTGAAATTATCAAAATCTCTCTTAAACTTGACCCATTTCTGAAATAAAACAGGTAATACTCTCAGTACATTAACATGATGACTTGAGACCTGGCAGCATATTGGTGTTGACATGTCAACATGAGGCCAACATGAGGTTGACACTGTCATCTTGGAGTCCCCATTTCCTGCAGTTCATGAGGCCCAGGCTGCCGGAGGTGGATGCTCGAAATTTCGCTTTTCCAAAGTCAGCTGTGGAGGTTGGGAGAGAAGCCAGGGAAACAACAATACTTCGTATTTGGCTGGAGTGCTTATAAAATTTCAGGTTTGAAATATATGAACTTAGAAGTTCTGTGTATAGTTGGGGGATCAAACTGGTTATCAACTTCTTTTTTTTAAAAAAAAAATGCATTTTATTGAAATATAATTTATGTACAGTGAAATACACAAAATTAAAGTGACATGGGTCAATGCATTTTCTTTTTTGCAGTGTTTCCTCCCCCACCTCCCCCGGCAACCAACAAAGAAAGTTTCCCTCCATATATAAACCTTTCCTTGACCCTCCACAACAATGAACATTACTATATCTGTCCTTCTGTGATTGACTTATTTCACTCAGCATAATGTCCTCCAAGTTCATCCATATGATGTGGTGTTTTGCAGACTCTACATTATTCTTTAGTGCTGCATAGCATTCCAGTATGTGTATGTACCATAGTTTGGTCATCTGCTCTTCCACTGATGAGCACGTATGTTGTTTCTATCTTTTTGCTATTGTAAATAGTGCTGTGATGAACATGAGCATGCATGTATCTGTTCCTATCCTGGCTCTCACCTCTCTAGGATATATACCTAGTAATGGGATTGCTGGGTCAAATGATATCTCCAGTTCCAACTTTCTAAAGAATTGCCATATTGCTTTCACAGTGGTTGTGTCACTTCACAGTCACATAAGCAGTGTATGAGAGTCCCAATCTCTCCACTTCCCCACCAGCATTTGTATTTTCTGTCTCATTAAAACTTGCCATCAGTGCTGGAGTTGGTTATCAACTTCTGGTACAACTTTCTTGATCTTAAATATTCAAGGGAGAAAGAGAAAACTCAAATCTTCACACGCAAATTTGGCAGAAAGTATAATGGTGAAGTCTGATTAGAACTGTTGCTAAACTACAATGCTAGTACAACTGGTAAAGAGACCTCAACCCATGATTCCCCATTCTTCCCCTCATGAAACAGATGCCTCACTTTTCTGATAGGAGGCAGTAAAGCTGTTTCCGAGCTCTGCCATCCAGAGATTGCACCACTCAGAAACCTGAGTATCTGGCTCTCCACTGGCTGGAATTTCACCAAGTCTTCAAAGGGCTACTATCCACCAACTGAAACCTGTGGAAAGAAATATATTTTGGGGAAAAATTCCCAAAGGAAAGGAGGACAAGAGGTAGTAGGGAACAGATCCTAAGGTCAGTTTCTATTATTACAAGAGTCTTGTAAGGACTTGTTTATGAAGAAAATTAGATTATTTTCCCCTTCCAGATCCACTAAACAAAGAAAGGGAAAAATTATCTGAATGAATCAGATGGTCTTCTAGAAAGAAAGTTTTGACCATATTCTGATTGGATGATTGCTATATGAGGTAGTTAAGGTTGTATGTCACCTTGTCTGGGCTGTGGCTTTGAGTGGATTGGCAGCTGGATGTAGTTAAAAAAAAAACAACACAGTTTAAGAGACAAGGAAGAGAATTATATAATGATTAAAGGGCCAATTCAACAAGAAGACATAACCATAATAAATAACTATGCACCCAATGAAAGAGTCCCAAAATACATAAAAAATCACACATTAACAAAGTTGAAAAGAGAAATAGATAACTCCTCAATAGTATTGTTGTTGTTATGTGCCATCGAGTTGGACCTGACTCATAGCGACCCCTCCTTGGGTTTCCGAGGTGGTATCACTATGGAAGTAGATTGTCTTACCTTCCTTCTGAGGAGTGGCTGGTGGATTTGAATTGCCATCCTTCTGGTTAGCAGTCAAGTGCCTTAGGCACTATGCTAGGAGACTTTAATATACCACTTTTAAGGAAGAATGGAACAACTAGAAAGAAACTCAACAAAGATACAGAAGATATAAATAACATAATCAACCAACATGACCTCATAGACACATACTGAGCATTCCACCCAGGAAAAGCAAACTACACATTCTTTTCCAGTGCACATGGATCATTCTCCAGAATAAACCATGTGTTAGGCCACAAAGCAAGCCTCTATAAATTGTGAAACATTTAAATAGTACAATGCATCTTCTCAGATCACAATGCTATAATATTATAAATCAATAATGGGAACAAGGAAAAAAATACATGGAAATGGAATAATCCTCTGCTTAAAAACTACTGTGTAATAGATGAAATTAAAAAATTCCTAGAATCAAAGGAGAATGAAAATAAGACATACGAAAAACTTCTGGACACAGCAAAATCAGTGCTCAGCAGTTAATTCAAAGCAATAAATGCAAACACCAAAAAGAGGAAATAACCAAAAACAGTGTCTTAACCCAGTAATTCCAACAATTAGAAAAAGACCTTCTCATGCTCAAATTCCTAAAATCTTTATGAATATGCATAACCATCTCTCCTGAAACCTAAAAAAAACTATAATTCAATGGAGATTCGGGGTATGGACCCCTGCCTCCTTGCATTTCCACTTTGCAATAAATAATTTTCTCTCCTCTTAATCAGTCGGTGTGTAAACTGTTTTGGCCTGACTGCGCACTGGGCATTTTGGTCCTATTACAATCCTGTGGTTCAACTTTTGGCCAAACAATAGACATGCTTACAAGATGAACAATAATACAGGAAGGTAGGCACTCATTAGAACAATCAACCATACAAGATCAAATGACAGAATTTGCCCAGGGATAAAGCAAGAAGGGATAGGAAAGAAGGATGAAGGGAAATGATAAACACAGTGAGGAAATGAGAAGAGTGCTATTACATTGGGGATTGCAATGAATGTCACAAAACAAAATGTGTATGAACTATTGAATGGAAAACCAATTGTTCTGTAAGCTTTCACCCAATCACATTTTTAAAAAATTATTTTTTTAAAAAAGATAAGAACTACACGATTGCTTCCGGTAAGATGGAGGAATAGGCAAACAAGCAACACAGATTCTCTTCAACAAAGAAAAGAAAAACCAATTGACAGAGATACAGAAGATAATCCTGGAGCCCTGAGCTTTGAAAGGAACTATACAGAAGTGGATTAGGCACAAACTAGTGGAAAAACATGAATGAAAATAGTCAGTATAGAAATGGTCAGAGCTGCAGGCTGTCAGCTACTCTGACGGGACCAACAGCCTGAATATTCCCAAGTGGTGTTGAGACCTGAGAATTGACCTAGGGATTAGCCCTGGTCACCAAGGGCTGCAGGGATGACTGCACTGGTGGCTGATGACTAGGAAGGGAAAGAACAAGGAGGGAGACAACCTTAGCTGTTGACTTTCTGCTGTCCGGAGGGCACAGCCATTTTGATTATTTACACACAGCAGCCATTCTGGCTATTTAAAGTGACCGAGGGCACAGCCATTTTGAATGTTTGTAAGTGGCAGCCATTTTGGGTATTAAAGAGATAGCATTCTCATTAGGATTTCAGAGACCTAAGAATAGGCTCTGTTTGTTAAGGTCAACAGGGACATACAAGAGGCTGACAACAGGAAAGGAGACAG